TGATGTCACAAAGCTGGTCATGTCCTCTTTGGCATTGCTGATATTTAGGAATCAGTAAAACCAACTCCTTTTGCCTCTCCGAAATGTTAGCTAAATGTGGCCATTTCGATGAAATTAACGGTCAATAGAGAAGGCAAACATTCTTCCACATTTCCGCTAAATGCATTGAAGTCAATAGGGAAGACAAATCAAGGTGTTGTTTAAGGTCTTTTGAATTATGAGCTTTAACTTAAGTTCCTTTCATTTAAAAGGAAGATTGATCAGTTTAGTTTTGCTAAATTATTGATTGTATGGGAATTTGGGAAGGAGGGAGGTGAAGGGAAAGAATGATCACGGAGGATTGGGTATATATAAGAGAGGGACAATTTAGAAGATAGAGAAGCTAGGAGTCGTCGGAGGACTGTCCCTGAGTATTGGACAGTCCCTGAGAAGTGGAAGGAGGTAAGTTAGTTTTAATAAATTGGGAAATCTGCTTATATCGCAGGAAATGGTTAGGTTGGACATAAAATTACATGGATAGTTCAGCCATCATCTTACAAGAACCTTGGGTATTCAGGAGTTGTTAGATAGAATGGATGCCATTATCATGCCAGGTCTTTGACTCAGCTCCTTGAGGAAATACGGGGGAGGAGACAATAGGCATCCATGGAGAAATCGTATCCGGCAAACGCAGAACTTTCCTCAGCTCCATCCATGTGATCACTGTATCTCTCAGGACAACATTATTTTTAATGTGGGGAGGGGGGGAAGACAGAGGAAGGGTATGGGGAACACCAGATAGAGACCATGGGTGAACTAGATGGGTTTTTAAGGACGTATTAGAGAAGAAGCATGTGTTGTGTAACCAGTCTCGGACATGTTGAAAAATACTAGCCAGATTGTAGTGCCTAATATGGGGAAAATTAGTACCTAAATGGGGCTTAGGTGGTGGAGTTTTTTTAGGGAGATTCTGGGTTTCTTCCCCTGCCAAATAAATCTAGAGAACTATCTATTTAAGAGTTGGGTATCCTTATGTTTAAGGAGTAGGGATATGGTCTGCATGGGGTAGAGGTGGCGGGCAAAACTGATCATTCGGAGCAGGTGGCATCTGCCTAAATCGGAGAGGGGGAAATTCTGCCAAGATAACAGTTCTTCCATAGTTTTTTTTAATAATAGGGGAGTAGTTAAGTTTATATAACTCCATCTCAGAGCAGGAAAGTTAGATTCCTAAATAAGTGAGAGATCGGTGCTTTACTTGGAGATGATATGTGGATGTCCAGGACATCACGTCAGCACCCGCTGTATTAGTTAGTTCCAGGTCCGGGAGGATTAACTTATATCATCAGCATAGAGCATCGATTTGACGTCCGTGTGTCCTATCTGGTGACCAGTAAAAAAACTGTGGTAAGGAAAGGGAGAGGGGTTCATTGGCAATGTTGAACAAAAGAGGGGATAAAGGGCAGCCCTGACGTGTGCCTCTGTGGAGAGGAAAAGGAGGGTGGAAGTGTGTATTTGTGCCTTCGGGTAGGAGATAGAAGAACAAAATGCAAACATTATCCAGTAATACCCATTTTATTGAGGACTTTTGTCAACCAGTCCCAGTTTACACTGTCAAAAGCTTTCTCCGCGTCCAAGGCAAGCAAGGCCATTGGAGACGGAGAAGCGATGGATTTAGATAAGCGAACATGTTCAAGAGCAAGCAAGATTTTTCTCACATTCATCATAGCTGAGCGACCTGAAATGAAACTCGTCTGATCAGGAGAAATCAGTTTGGGTGAAAAGGATGGTAAACAGTTTGCCATAATTTTGGATAACAGCTTAGTATCCTGATTCAATAGAGAAATCGGGCGGTAGGATCCTGGCAGGAGTGGGTTTTTGCTCTTTTTTGGGATCAGTCTAATATAGGCATCATTAAAGGATGGAGGATATAGGTGGCAGTGCAGAATGTGGTTGAACAACAAAAGGAGGTGGGGGAAGCATCGTTAAGAAGTATTTTATAAAACTCCCTCCCTCCGAGTCAGCTAGGCAAAGTATATGAGGGGTAGGATGAGTTCCTCGGACCAAATTTGCCAAGAGCCTGCCGCACTTGTTTCCAAATCTAAATAATTCTACATCTTTGATAGATTTAATTTGTTGGTCGTACTGCCATACTAATACTGGTTCCCAATAAAGACATAAAGAAATCTGCAAAAGCATTTCTAATGTCTACTGCGTTTCCAAGGGGATGCAAGTCCATGAACTGCCCCTGTTGAGCAGGGTTCCGGGCCTCAGGGTCTGATGACGCTCTCTCACTTTCCATCAGAAAACTGTGTAGCTCAAAGCAAGCCAGCATTGCTTTGATGGTGTTCTCAACACCCAGTTGAATTGCAGACAGAATATGCCACTTAGCTGCGCAGACTCCAAATGCACACTCCACCATCTGCCAAGCACAAGTCCATGCCCATTGTAGGGGTGCAGTAGGTTCTCTTCTATTTCAAATATCTTATCTGCATTAGTCACATATGGCAGACTTGTCTGCATCATACCAGGCAGAGGCTTCCCTTGTGGTATTTGTAATCATCCCTCATGGAGCCTAGGTACCATTGCAGAACACTTGACAAACGCACTCATCAATTCGTCACCAGCTTAACAGCAAGGTGTACATGGAATGGGCTTTAAACAGTCAAACAGCAAAAAGTTTTCCTGGCAGACCATTGCAGACTCCCTGAACATGCTAGAATCTCCCGAACTCCCGTAGGTCCCAACATCGATGGCAATAAAACGAAGGTGGGCATCCACCAAAGCAAAGAGGACCCTGAGTTTGGTGGTATCTGTATTCTAATGAGCTTGCTGTCCAGGGCTCCAATATTCTTTAGCCAGTTCTTCCCACAGCTCTGGGGTGGGATCTGACATCACTACCTGATGTAGCTCCTTGCAAAGTGCCAGACAAGTTTCCTTGGTCACCTTGGCTACTGTACTTACACCCAAGGGGAAGTAGTGGTGCAGCAAAGAAAATGTCTGACCGGTTGCCAAAAACATGAAACATCAAATGGAATAAGAAAATGAGACATTCAATATAACAATAATCAACATACATGCACAGATATACTGTATATAGATATAAACACACACACCCCTCAACTGAATTCCAAAAAAAGCGTGGAGCTTTGTACTTCTGTGATGTTTTTTCCTATATCTAGGAATAGCCTGCTTTTTTTTTAAGTGGTACTTTGAAAAAGGAAATCTAAAAGGTGAATGGTGGCTATGGGCAATTGCACCTAGCCTGCTGAACATCTCTCTTTGTTTCATGTAATATGCTGCCCATTTGGAAAAATATTATGGAGGGAATTTACTAAGAATATTTAGAACAGAACTGTTCCAGTTGTCAATAGCAACCAGTCAGAACCTAACCTCCATTTTGTTTTGTGAAGCTTAGAGAATGTAGCCTACGAGCTGACTGACTGATATAGGCAAATAGAACAGTTCTTTTGTAAATACTCTTAGTTATTTTCCCTTATATCTACATACTATGCTCTTGCTCCTCAGCAGGCACACTCCTCCACATTTTTGTATCTAGATGCGTGAGTTGTGGTCGCAGACTCTCCACCAGTGAATGAAAAGTGCAGAAAAACATCCGAGTGAAGGTACAAAAAACTTTTCAGGATATCTCCTAAATTCTCTGTGCATCAGGGCAAAGGAACCATTCGTCAGCTGCTGTGATGTCAAAGGATGTGTTCAGTATCGATGCCTGGACCTGTTCTTCTCCAACACCCTCAACAGCAAGATTGCTTCATCTATAAGATTAACAATGGGGTTTGCCCATAAAAGCTAGATACTGTATTCAGCAGAATAAAAACTAGCTAACATAGTCACACACAGAGAATTTCGTTCAGTATTCCATTACACCTTTGTGCATTAATCCATAATTGAAAGGTTTTTTAAAACCTCCGGGGTTTTTTTTGCATATATCTACTGCTAGCAAGCAGTAGATGTATGTAAAAAGTGTAAAAAAAAACAAAAAACCCCGCTTTGAAAAGGGTTAATACTTACCTGTGTCTTTCCACTCGCTCCCGCTTGAAAATGTGAACATTTTTGGGCGGCCGCAAAGCATCTTGGGGTGGGCGCATGCGCAGTTCACATTTTCGGCCGGGACGCTAGGAGAAATACAAGGCAAGTCTATGGAGGCGTGCACCTGCATGCAGACACTGTGGGACAGGAAGTGCCAGCAAGCTCAGAGGAGTCAGCGCTGGATCGGAGACCCGCCTAGGCTTGCCACCTTTTCTTCAAGCGAAACCCGAACACTCTATCGACGCGTGGAATTTTTTTGAGAGAATGAGTCGTGGCTTAGTTATATGTAAATTGTGCCACCCATTAATATGTAAATATCACAGTTGAGACTATTTTCAGTGGGGGGCCAGTAGCCCCTATCTTAATATTGGCTGCCCCTGTCTGCATGACATCTTGTGTCCAGGTTTCTGCTGCCATGAAACCCGGACACAGCATTCAAAACCCGAACTGTCCGTGTGAATCCTGGACAGGTGGCAACCCTAGACCCGCGCTGGAGGGACAGATGAAAAGGACAGGAAAGAAGATTGGATTAAGAAACATCATTTAAGGTATGTGCTTTAATTAACATTGGGGGAGGGAAAAATATTTTTGACTTTAATGTCACTTTAAGCCTGCCAATCTGAGCTCCTTGTATCTCCAAATTCTCATTAGTTCAGTCCAAGCAACCCAAACTACTATGTGACAGTGTAGACTGAGCTTTATTAGTGGATATAGCCGGGGTTATGTGTGCAGATATACTAATTTCAATACAGAGAAAAGCCAATACAACTACTGCTCCCTCACAGCACAGCACTACCATGGAGCTCTCTGTGTACATGGGAAACGTGGCGTCATTACTCAGCGCCGGCGTGTAAGGACGGAGGAGGCGGAGCTGATTGGCTGACAGCGCTGTGCGCTATTGGCCGTGACTGACATAGAGGAAGTTGTGCTCTTGTTTCGGATGTGATGATCAGATTTCGCCGGTGGGGATTAGAATGTTTGTACCGAGAGCTGTGAAGAGGCGGACAGAGGCTGACAAGAGTGCGGGGAAGAGGAGAGTCACTGAGAGGAGCTATGAGGGCACATCCGAAGCTACCCCACATAGCTCCTCTGTTGCTGCTCACATTCCTTCATCGTCTCTGTCCATTGCTGAGCAGTCACAGTCATCACCTACTCTTATTCCTGCTTCCTCTAGCCATCCATCAGTCATCACCTCTTCTGCTCTCCCTGTGACTCCCCATTCCCCCACTGCATCAGGGAATGCAATAATTTCTACATCTAACCATTCATCGGTGACCAGTTCTTGTCCTCTTCCTGTGTCTTCTCATTCATCAACTGTCTCAAGGAGTGCCATCATTTTTACATTTTCCTCCTCTAACCATTCATCAGTTACCAGCTCTTCTCTACTTGCATCCCCTCCTTCCCCCACTACCTCAAGCAGTGCCATCATTTCTACATCCTTCTCCTCTAACCATCCATTGGTGACCAACTCTTCTCTTGCTGTGTCTCCTCCCTACCCCACTGACATAAGGAGTGTTATCATTTCAGCATCTTCCTCATCTAACCCTTCATTAACCAGCTCTTCTCTTCCTGTGTCTCCTCATTCCCCCACTGCCATAAGGAGTGTCATAATTTCAGCATCTTCCTCATCTAACCCTTCATTGACCAACTCTTATCCTCTTCCTGTGTCTCCTCGTTCCCCAACTGCCCCTAGGAGTGTCATAATTTCAGCATCTTCCTCATCTAACCCTTCATTGACCAACTCGTATCCTATTCCTGTGTCTCCTCATTCCCCAACTGCCCCAAGGAGTGTCATAATTTCAGCATCTGCCTCCTCTATCCATCCATCAGTGACCAGCTCTTCTCCTCTTCCTGTGTCTCCTCATGTCCCTACTACCCCAGGGAGTGCCGTAACTTCAGTATCTGCCTCCTCTACCCATCCATCAGTGACTAGCTCTTCTCCTCTTCCTGTGTCTCCTCATGTCCCTACTACCCCAGGGAGTGCCGTAACTTCAGTATCTGCCTCCTCTACCCATCCATCAGTGACTAGCTCTTCTCCTCTTCCTGTGTCTCCTCATGTCCCTACTACCTCAGGGAGTGCCGTAACTTCAGTATCTGCCTCCTCTACCCATCCATCAGTGACCAGCTCTTCTCCTCTTCCTGTGTCTCCTCATGTCCCTACTACCTCAGGGAGTGCCGTAACTTCAGTATCTGCCTCCTCTACCCATCCATCAGTGACCAGCTCTTCTCCTCTTCCTGTGTCTCCTCATGTCCCTACTACCTCAGGGAGTGCCATCATTTCAGTATCTGCCTCCTCTACCCATCCACCAGTGACCAGCTCTTCTCATTCTGTGTCTCCTAATTCCCCCACTGGCTCGGGGAATGCCAGTATTTCAGCAGCTGCCTTCAGTGAAATTCATCCGTCGGTATTTTCTCCTGATTCACCAGCTGTGGTGCCTAATGGTCCTTTTTCAACCCCATCCTCCTCTTCAGATGTCTCCCATCAAGTTTCCGACCCAATATCTACACCCGCTGGTGTTTCTGGGCCATCCACTGCTGATATACGTGTCATAGAGGAAGAACCTATCAAATCTTTTAGCAAACATCAGCGCTGGCCTGCTTTGGGGGAACCAGTGTGTGTTGTATGTGGGAGATATGGAGAATATATATGTGATCAGACAGAACATGATGTTTGCAGCTTGGAGTGCAAAGCAAGGGACATATTACAGGCTCAGGACCGCTGTCCCCAGAACACTGCTAGTCCACTTGAGCACCAGCCTGTAGAAAGTACTGATGGAGGACAGGTCCAGTTATGTACCGCATCTAATATGCCTCACTCACGTCAGCCCATGGATGCCGAGTCTTCATCTTTTACAGCTAACCACCATGACACCTCTTACTCCTACACTGAACATGAATTTATTGCCCAGCTGGAGCAAGATCAGATTGACCATCTAAGGCAGCAGCTCGGCTTGTCTGTGCAAGGTCATGAGGTGTGCAAACCTATCATAGAGTTTGAACATTTAAGCTTTCCAGCTGCACTCTGTGTAAATATAAAAAGAGCTGGATATGATGTTCCTACTCCAATCCAAATGCAAATGATGCCTGTTGGACTGATGGGGCGCGATATATTGGCGAGTGCAGACACTGGCTCGGGGAAAACAGCAGCTTTTCTTCTTCCAGCCATCATCCATTCTCTGGAACAGGTATTTCTTTAACAACAAAAAAAAGCATGTCTTATGCTGAAGTTTGCTACTATTAGATACCATTATACTTTTTTTAATCCCTACTTGTTATGTTGATTTTGAATTGTATTTTGAAGTATGGTTGAAAAGCAGTATAGAAATGGTGGTCTGTGGTCAAGTCCAAAGTCAGCATTCTCATAGGATTGTGCCCAATGCCATGTCCTACAGTTCACAGCACCGCACGTTATGGGGGTTGTTCTAGGTGTGTTTCTGTTCCTCTTACAAAGAAATACCAAGGGGGGGGTCAATGCCATAAACTGGACAAACTGTGTGCATGTGTTTCTGTCTCTAGGCCTCGGCGAACTGAGCCTGCACAAAACTGTCAGTGACCTATCCGACTCATGACCCAATCAGCAGCTGCTAGGGCATTCCCCTTCTTATTTGTTGTGTGGTTGCAGGGTGGGGAATGCCCCGGCTGATTAGGCTGGGAGGGGATGTGTGACTGACAGTTTTGCTTAGGTGAACCTGGCTCACACCAAACTTACGCACATCTCTGATGGTGAGCTAGATGGGGAGTTACCTTGGAAACAGGGATAAAAAAAACTCTAGAGCTACCCCTGCATTGCAAGGGCTAAGTGCTCATTTTGTTCTAGGGTCTAAAATAAAAAATATATAATTCTCTGTATTGTCTGACTGCTAGACCAGTCCCCACAGCCTATTCTTCCCTGGGCTCCAGGGGTCTAAGGTCCTGTGATGCTATCACGTTTATTCACTTGTATTAGATGTGAAGACATTGAGGGACATTCCAGAGGGGGAGAGAGGTGAGCAGTCACCACCCTGGGACTGAAGATCAGGTGAGTATATCTTTTTTTATTTTAGACCCTAGACCAAAAAGAGCACATAACCCTTGCAGTGCAGGGGTAGCCCCTTTGTTTTACTAACAAAACTCACAATGTAGAGTTTTCCTTTCACTTCCTGTTGCATTTTCAGGGCAGGAACTGAAGTGAAATCTCCGCAGTGGGGGGACAGACGATAAACAAGTAATCGTACCAATGTTTAATCCATTCCCCATTCTATCCAATCTAACTTAAAACATTGTTTTGGCAATATATATACTTTATGTGAATGGTCTCTGAAGTGCTTTGGAATTTATTGGTACTGTATAATTAAAATCATTTTGTTTTTCCCTTGTTAGAAAGATGCTCCAGCTGCTCTGATTTTGACTCCCACCAGAGAACTTTCGGTGCAGATTGAGAAACAGGCACAGGAGCTAATGTTTAAAATTCCCCAGATGAAGACTGCTTTGCTTGTTGGAGGAATGCCCTTACCACCTCAGATCTATCGACTAAAGCAAAATGTGCAGGTAACCAAAGCCATACAAAGTAAACAGTTCATGTATCCAGAAGATGATAAATAAATAAATTAAATATATTTCAAAGAAACAATAATGCCATTAAACAGCTTTGGCAAAACAAATATGTATTTATTTGTTTATTTGTTTGTGTTTTTTGTTCTTTTGAAGCTGAGACATGGCGAAATAAGTAGAGCTTAAGGAAAAAGAGGCAGGACTTTGCTGCTCAGTGTGTTACATATCATCAAACTGAGAAGTAAAGCTGCGCTATAGCAATCCTAGGCTGCTGAAGAGGAGCACATATGAATGCAGTATTATTTGAGACTTATTTTTCAGTCAAGTCATCAGATTTTCGCAGTTATCAAAGGTCATCAGTTTACTGTTAACCATGAATTATGGCCCTATAATTATTGCCCTCAATGCGATGTTCGCGGTGATACCCAACATGTGTGGCACAATCATCACAAGCAGGCTGCCACAAGTGATCTGGGCGGCTATCCCCCTTCCCAACTGATGACAGAGTTATCCAGTCATGATCGTTCAGTTCGTTAACCGATGATGGGATAATTCCGTCATTAGTACAATGAGCGCTGGTCCGTGAAGGAACCAGAAACTCATTGAGTTGCTGCTGTGGATGGGGTCCGAGTTAGAGCCTCAACAGCAAATGAGTTGGCCACAGTCCTGTGATTACGGTGAGAGCTAACCGCCGTGACAGTTATACAGCCGACAGCAGCTCACTGTGTTGAGTAGCTACGAGAGCTGGCTGTGTGTTACAAAGTGATACAAAGTATCTCTGAGGTCAATATTGTATACTACTCGGAGATACTAAGTATCAAAGCCCCTGTTAATAAAAAAATAACCCCTTAATGCCCCCTAGTTTGAAAAGAGAAATACAATTTAAAAATGTAAAAAAAAGAAAAATATTTTTAAAAAGGTCAAAGTATTTTAAAAAAAAAAAATGTAATAAAAAAATGATAAGACAATATTGTGCCGAGGAGGCTATTAAAGATGGGAGAAAAACATGCCACATTCTAAAATTGGTCCACACTAAAATTATATTTTACTCCTTTGTATTTTGTGACCTATAACTCCCCAAATAAACTTAAATCCCAGACATAAATAAAATAATTTATTATGAATTACTTTCTGTTAGCTACACTAATTATTATTATTGCCAAAGCTGTGAAAAAATGTGTTTTTGTTTTGCATTTTTGTAAAACATTTTTATAAAACAAAAAATAAACAAAATGTATATATGCATATGTCATGTCAAATTAAAGCCCATTTTGTCCTTTTAAAAAACGGTATATAAAATGTGTAGGTGTAATACATGAGGAAGATGGATATTATGGTTAAACAAACATAGCAAAAATGGCAAAACTGCTCTGGTCCCCAGGAAGGGAAACATTTTTTTTACTATGCCTAGTGCTTCTTCTTGCTTTTCTATCAATATAGTCCAACTGACCCCTTTTATCTGTTTTTTTTTTTATAGATCATTATAGCAACTCCTGGAAGGCTTTTAGAAATACTTAACCAAGATTCTGTAAACCTTACTAAACTTAGGGTTCTGATAGTGGATGAGGTAAGTGTAATGTAGTATGTGTTATTAAAAGTTATTCATGAAACTACTTCCGTGTTTTTTTTGCAGTTCTGCTCCAGTGTAAGTTAGACTAACTAGCTCTTCACTACAATACGTATATAAGGTATATAAGGACTCCTAGACATTTTGTTCTGGTACAAATGCAAAACCACATATATATTATATCTGGACTGGACACTAAACAAGCATGTCCAAGGGACACCCATAACCATATTGCTAGGGCTGTCCAGCTTGCTAAGATGTTAAATATGTAGGGCCGGTGCTAGACTATTAAGTGCCCTAGGCAAGACCAGCTACTTGCACCCCCCCTCCTGTGGCGCTCCTCTGCTCAGTGGGCGGGTGCAATAACCAGCCTGCTATTGACTTTGCAATTTGAAATAGACGGGAAGTGCCGTGGGGGGTGAATGGTCAAGGCTGCGCCCTTGGTATACAGTCAGTATACAGTCTTTTGGTCAATTTGGTTTATGCATCTCCTTGATTTGTTTCATGGCCTGTGACACTGTTTTTATCCTATGTGCCTAACATAAGACCTGTTGCTCTCATTGGTTGGTGGAAAGGACATCCTATTTTTTATGATTGGTAATAAAGTTCAACAGAGCACCAGAGATATAAATAATGCTAATGCCACTTCACTGAAGGGCACACAGTGTGCTGGCAGGACCACATTTACTACACTTAGCCCTCATGTAGGTTGCAGTGTGATTGTCTCTCTTCCTGCACCACCCCGCTTAGCCTCCTGTGACAGGCAAGCAGGATGAAGAGCGTGTTGCAAGCACTTAGCGATCTGGGCTGATCGCTGAGTGTCTGCAAATAACTGAGGCAATATGCTTACTGTGTTCCCAGTTTTTTTAAATGAACAGGAAGTGCTCTACATCACTTTCATGATTGTGGAGTAACTGATGGTATCTTCACAGTTTTTGAATGGGCAGGAGCACTCAGTATAGAGTCTTCCTGTTCTTTCATAACAGGGGCTGCAGAAAGAGATTGAGGACTCTGTGTCCTCAATCTCTTTGTCTATTTTAAAAGGAGATATCAGGGGTCTTTTCAGACCCCTTATATTTGCCCAAAAGCCCTAACAGTAACGTAATAAAAATAATTACAAAATAATTCAAGTTAGAAAAAAAAAAGTGTTTTGGTTTTGGCCTGTCAGAGTTTTTAGTTCCGGACTAAAAATGTCATTTCGGTGCATCTGTAGTAAATAGGGTTGGTACTTTGTCAATGGCCATGCTTAGATATTAACACGGTTGGGTATTAGTTTAGAATGGAGCAGTAATGGAACTTCAAAGACAGCCTCTGTTGTACAGGAGGGTTGACATTCAAAACTGTCAGACAGTTCTGTATATAACACTGGTATATTGACCCAGCATTCTGGAAATGAAAATAAGAATTGATTTATATGGTGTGAAATTGGGAATTTTTTTTTTTTACCTTGGTGAATTACATTTACTAGTCTTTCTTACGTTCCCAGGCTGACACAATGCTAAAGATGGGATTCCAACAGCAAGTGCTTGATATTTTTGAGCAGGCTTCGCAGGATCATCAGACAATCTTAGTTTCAGCCACCATTCCCACCAGCATTGAAACCTTTTCCCAGCAGCTTTTAAGGGATCCTGTGCGAATCACTGTTGGGGAGAAGAACCAACCATGTTCTAATGTGCGTCAAATTGTACTGTGGGTGGAAGAGCCCTCAAAGAAAAAGAAGCTCTTTGAAATACTGAATGTAAGTAAAATAATACTCAATCGTTATGTTTATTGGGTTCATATGTGAATGGTTAACTGTTAAAGATCTCATATGGTGATTGTTATCCAACAGAGGATCTGGGTGGGACTTTCTTTATGACACATGTAAAATGTACCTTTCTGTATTTTGTCTTCATATGAAATGTCATCAACGTGCTGTGCCAATTCTTGCATGCAATGTAACCCCCTTTAAGCACAGAGGATGCCCATTGTTCATTTACTTTGGTGGAGCAAATTTATTTTTCTAGCAAATTGTCTTCATGAAGATCCTTCACCAATCGATGGCAGACAAAGATTATGTGGTTGTGAAATGTATAGGTTCCATTAAGATTGTACCCGGATACAAACCATTTCATGTACAGGAGTAGTAAAGCAACTGGACCACTTAGATATTTTATTACAGCTCATCACACATACTGTAGTCTATAGTCATAAAGTGAAGCTTTAAAAGGGTCATTATGGGCCGAATATAAACTAAAATAATAATATATTTATAAAGTGGAACTCCAGGCAAACGGCTAAACCCCCAGTTGAATTGTGTACATTTATGATTACAAACAAAGACGATTCCTAATTTTTTTCAGTCAATCTTGTGAATTGCACATCTCTTGCTTCTAGTTTACTATATTCTGGTTCAGATTTACTCTTTCCTTGTTCACTCACTTCTCATTTAATTGTCCAATTAACAATCTGGAGTCAGACCGATGACATAGGAAGCCTAATTGCTGAAATAGGAAATCCTATTTCTGTGCAATGTGGCTTAGGTCTGTAATTCACAAAATTGTCTCTAAAGGATTACAAAAAGCAGGTAAAACATTTCTGTAATATAAAGCTGTAATCTTCAGCTGTTTGCCTAGGGTATCACTTTAAAGTGACATTAAAGTCAAAAATGTTTTTTAATGTCAGCACTTACCTTAAAGGAGAACTATCGTGTTAAGGCTTTCCCCATAGTTCTCCTTAGGGTAACGGGAGGACACAAACTAGCGTCCTCCCGTCACCCTAGGCTCAGTATACCGCGAGCTACTGCTCGCGGTATACTGAGACGCCGCAGCTGAAGCGGATCCCCACAATTGTGCCGGGATCCGCCCAGCTGCGTGACTTACAGCTGGCTCTGCCTATCTAGAGGCAGAGCCAGCTGTTTCCCCGCCCCTCCCCCGTCCGTTCCGCCAGTCAGCGCTGGCGGATCGGAGCAGGGAGGGGGGAATCCAGCCCCTTCCCTGTCATGGCAGAGAGCCGTGACAGGATCGAGAGGTGAGCGAACGCCGGTATGTGTTCGCTCACCTCCCGATCTACTGAGCCGACCTGTGACAGTCTCATTGTCGCAGGTCGGCTAGAACTATGAGGTGACTGAAAAGCACTCACCTCATAGTTCTCCTTTTAAATGATGTTTCTTAATCCGATCTTCTTCTTTCTTGTCCTTTTCATCTGTCCCTCCAGCTCTGCGGCGAGTCTCAGATCCAGCGCTGACTCCTCTGAGCTTGCTGGCACTTCCTGTCCCACGGTGTCTGCATGCGGGTGCACGCGTCTATAGACTTACCTTGTATCTCTCCTTGTGTGCCGGCCGAAAATGTGATCTGCGCATGCGCCTGCCCAAAAATTTTCACATTTTAGGGAGCACGCGGGGAAGACACAGGTAAGTATTAACCCTTTTTTTTTTTTTTTTTAACGCTTTTTGCTTATATCTACTTGCTTGCTAGCAGTAGATATATGCAAAAAAAAAGACACGGAGGCTTTAATTATCATTTTATGGCTCAGTTAAATATGCTTTATTGATTGGTAGTTATTGTAATGATTATTTTCATAAATAAGCAAATCAGAGTTGAAAATACTAATCATTATAGCAGATACACATTCATTATAAATTAATTAAGCCTTTAAACTTCAATAAAATGTGTAATGGAACATCGATTACGGTTGCTAATGTTTATATACATAGATATGTAGCAATGACATTTTCAAATAAAATGAAAATATAAATAATGGCACAATTTCTGGATATCTTGCATCTGTGTTGTATTATTAATGAATTGTAACATGAATGTATTTGACAGCATAGCGTGCTTGTGTTATTTGTATATCATGCTTATCTCTGTTTTCCTAGGATTCAAAGCTGTTTCAACCCCCTATCTTGGTATTTGTGGATTGCCGACTGGGAGCAGATCTCCTCAGTGAAGCTGTGCATAAGATTACAGAACTAGACTGTGTTTCTATCCATTCTGATAAACCCCAGACTGAAAGAACGAAGATACTCAAGGTAAACTCATTTTTAAAAGTGTACTTGTAGCGCTAACCTCTTCTTGTGGATATGCCTTGTGGTGACCTTTGAATTGTGGGTTCCAAGTAGAATGTTGGGGTGCATGCTTTAGATAGAAGTCAAGATGTACATATGATGTGCAAGATTGGGGGTTCCTATACAAAAAAGAATCCTTCTGGGCCTTTATGGGATGTGGCAGAATGGCAATGCAATGAACAGAAAAGTTCTTTATATCCAACAGTTGTAAACATGCTTTAACTATGAGGTTGTATATGAGGAGGATTGTTTTTTGAAAGACTTTAACATTCGTTGTTGAGATTGTGATCTAATATCCTTTTTGTTGCTGAGCACAGAAGGCATTAACCTTCACGCAATTTTAAGGCTTGACATGTTTAGTGTCTTTTTACCCGACGTGACCCCATCTTTTATATTTTACCAAAAAATTGGGTAATAATAAATGTTTTATCATTTAATATAGGGGAAACGTTTTTTTTAAAAAAAATTTCGGTAATTTTTCCTTAATATAGTAAAAAAATAAAACCCCCAGTGGTGAATAAATACCACCAAAAGAAAGCTCTATCTGTCCCCAAAAAAGGGTATAAAATTCATTTCAGTACAGCGCTGCATGACGGAATAAATGTCAGTCAAAGTACCGCAGCGCTGAATACTGAAAAATGGCCTAAATGGGAAGGGGGTTTAACACCGCGGATGTCAACTGGTTAAAGACTCCTAGCCAAGTTGAGTTCAAAGCCTGCATAGCAGCTAGGGAGCAGGGGCAGCAGCTATGGCCAGACAGCAGTGTTTTAACTAGTTGTCGATCTTAGGTGTACCACACACGCCCCAAAAACATTGCTCTCTACTGCTGCCAAAGAATCTTCTGCATCCAACACATGCTATGTTTTATTTTGGCCAAACCTATATATCATTATTGTGTCCTATAGTGATGTAGGCGGTCAGCTACAGGAACAACAGAGAGCACTAGATATCTCCCAGATTCTCCCCGACGTATCAGAGGCAGAAGATATTTACCACAGCATAGGCAGTGGGACAGGAGTGTCACCTGTGTTCTTTTACAGACACTATTTTTGTTTAGTGAAGAAACGTGACTAAATATTGGACCAGCCATATTTAAATTGTCTTTTAATGCATTATTTTTGGAATGTCTCACGATTTCACTGCTATGTATATGCTCTTTTTTAATCATTCTTATTTGCCACTTTCTATAGGGATTGCTCCAGGGAGAGTATGATGTTGTTGTGAGCACTGGAGTCCTCGGGAGGGGTCTGGATTTGGTGAATGTGAAGTTGGTGGTGAATTTTGACATGCCTTCAAGTATGGATGAATATGTCCATCAGGTAAATATATCAGTTTTATAGTATGATGTACTTTATATTTTTTTGATCAATTAACTTTTTCATCTTTGAAGCAGACATGACATTGTTTATTGAAGAGTCACCATGGTCAAATGCAGCTATAAAACTTCCCCACTATATGGGGGCTCAGTATCTTGGCTACATAACAGGCTGCCATAATAACATTTGAAGGTGTAATAATTACACTCTCATTCTTACCTTGCGCAAAGATTTTTCAGCTTGCTGGACAACAATCTAAGCTCCGGCACAATGAGAGTGATCTACACTACACCTGCATGTTTGGGTTGAGGCCAGTCAAGTTCCTCCACCCCAATCTCGCTCATCAATGTCTTTATGGACCTTGCTTTGTGCACTGGTACGCAGTCATGTTGGAACAGGAAGGGGCCATCCCCAAACTGTTCCCACAAAGGTGGGATCATGAAATTGTCCAGAATGCCTTGGTATGCTGATGCCTTAAAAGTTCACTTTACTGGAACTAAAGGGCTAAGCCCAACCCCTGAAAAACAACCCCACAATGGATGAGCTGACCCCGCTCTGTCATTTTATGTGGCCTACCACTTTGTGGCTGATTTGCTGTTGTTCCCAGTTGCTTTTACTTCATTATAATACCATTAACAGTTGACCGTGGAATATTTAGTAGCAAGGAAATTTCACTGATGGACTTATTGCACAGATGGCAACCTATCACGGTACCACGCTTCAATTCATTGGGCTCCTGAGAGTGATCTACACACACACACCAATACACACACACACCAATACACACACACACCAATACACACACACACCAATACACACACACACCAATACACACACACACACCCCAATACACACACACCAATACACACACCAATACACACACACACACCAATACACACACACACACACACCAATACACACACACACCAATACACATACACACACACACACCAATACACATACACACACACACACACCAATACACATACACACACACACACCAATACACATACACACACACACACCAATACACATACACACACACACCAATACACATACACACACACACACACCAATACACATACACACACACACGCACCAATACACATACACACACACACGCACACACACCAATACACACCAATACACATACACACACACACACACCAATACATATACACACACACACACACCAATACACATACACACACCAATACACATCAATCAGCCATAACACTATAGCCTCCCGCCTAATATTGGGTAGGCCCCCCTTTTGCTGCCAAAACAGCCCTGACCCATTGAGGCACCACTAGACCTCTGATGGTTTGATTTAGGAAGAAATATCTTCATCTTTGGTGGTGAGCTTACATCCACAAGGTGGCACTAGAGCCCTGTTGGTTATTACTGTGCTGGTAACAAAAACTCTGCTGGTAAAGTTTATAAAGTTTCTTTTTTTTTCCTACAGATTGGAAGAGCAGGAAGACTCGGCAACCGAGGAACTGCTATTACATTTATTAATAAAAATAACAAGAACCTCTTCTGGGACTTGGTGAAAAGGGTGCAGCCCACTGGCTCACTTCTTCCTCCTCAACTACTGAACTCCCCTTATGTCCTGGAGCAGAAAAGGCTAGAGCAGAGAAAGCATCAGGACAAAGACCGATTGGTGACCGGAGAACAAATTCTTGATCTCATCCATAAACATGACAAACGAAAATACAAATAACGACCTGCCTTGCATCCTTCATTGACTGAGTAGCAGACACCTTTCAGTGTCCCTTTATTTTCTCTTTGGAAGAAAGTATGGCTACTGCCAAGAAAAAAAATGTCCTCTCATTTTAGAGAAGAGCTTTGCTCAGAAGTGATTAATTATAATTCAGGTTAGGGATGCACCGGTGTTGATTACAAACCTATCGCGATAGCGGAACTGCCAGTATCAGGAAGCCGGGCGGCGAGCCATTACACTCCACCCTGCGAGCCATTACACACCGCCCGGCTTCCTTAATGGGACTTTGGATATCGGGGAGTACCAGAAAAAAAATCGGTACTTATACTCAAAACTGAAAAACGGTATGGGTGCATCCATAATTCAGATAGAAATCTGTTATTTGCATACTCTTCAAGTTGCATGCACCTTGTGTAATAACCTTCATTTAACATTTTTTTCAATGCCACTAATCACTAATAACTGCAGTCTGTATTGTCTTTTTGTTCTCTTTAATGTATTTAATTTTTGCTGATTTGTTTTATTCAAGATACTTTCACATTTATGACTGTTCATATTTGTTCTAAGCGTTCTGCTTATTCTTTGTCAAGTAGACCCTGCCCCTGCGCAAATATATGGGTGAGAAAGCTAATTACAGAAAGGGATGTGAAAGTGATGTCCATACAAACCTACAGAGTATAAATCAGTAGGAAACAGACAGAAAGGAACGTAAATGCTGTCATAGCTTACCTCTACTTTCAAAAATGTTAGCTACCTTGCTGTCGTCCTGGCTATTTTGCTTTAAAACTTTGAGTTACTGACCTGGAACAAGCATGCAGATAGGTAGTTTTGCCATTTTTCTTTCCTGATATACTTGCTTGTTGTAAGTTTGTAAATTAATGTATTTAAAACAGTGGGTCAGCATAACAGCTCGGCAACTAGCATTTTTTTACAAGGTGGTCAGCAATGGTAGTCCCCATATAAGAGGTTGCAGAGATCCAACAGGATCCAAGAACCTGGCTGTACATGGGGAATTGATTACTGAGCAAGTTGAGATGAAACCCCTCCCTCTCCCAGCGCTAAAGCTGGCCCTACACTGTATTAAATTCGCACAGTGGGTATCCCTGTCAGCACCCTTTCGCGACAATAAATCAGCTTCCATCACTGTTCGAGTTTACTGACAGTGGCACACCCATAAAGAACGCTGTTTACTGAGGATGGAGGAATCTGTTATCTGCAAAAAAAACAATTTGGCTAGCTTAAGTCTTGCCCAGACATAGACCGTGATTAATGCCGGGAGACGTGAAGCTTAAAGTGTTATTAAACCATGACATGTAAAAGGCTTGTAGTGCTGAAGACCTCTGACCAGGTTTGCTGTGTGTTTTTCTTTTAAAACCTGTAGTTGCATTCCATGTTTAAAAAAGGACTCTCCCCCAGTTCCTGCTATGGAGTGGCTTCATCCTCTTGCATGGTCCCATGTATCCGCCCCTGCATGCTTGATCTTTCCTGGGACTGCAGCCAAGTGTCCCTACACTGCATGCATCCACACATTAAAATAGTACCAGGAGCCTACAGTGGCAAGCCACATGCTCCTCCCTTCTCCAGCACCTTGATTGACAGTAGCTTGAGCGTGTGCCATTGTAGTGACTGGCACCCTGTGACGTGCTCAAAGATCGCACTCCCCTCCTAAAAGTTTGAAAAAGAGGCAGAGTTGGCACCAGTGATCAGTTTAAAAAGTAAGTGTTGGGCATTAATTAAGAACGGTAGCTGCGTTAAATGTATTTAAGGCAAGGTCAGGTTTACTTTAAAGCAAACCTTGGTAGGTGCCATTTTTAATTTTGCCTGTATTTGTGCATGTTGACAGTCTTGAGCTTCCATTTAAACTGCGCTGGGATTCTGGTGTATTCCTGCACCGTTGAGGAGAAATGGGCTCCGTCCAAGGAAACTTGGCCTCAATGTATTCATAAATATATCCTAAGATAGGACTGTTAGACTGGAGTTAGGGGCCATTTGCAAATGTATGCAACAAAAAACAGCACTATGTTTGCAGATCGCACTGGACTGGAACGCAGGCACTATTGTGCTTGCGTTCCGGATGCAGGTGGTCGCACTGCGGGCGGGGGCGGGCGTGGCTGCTCTGCCATTAACTTCAATGCACCCCCTCCCGGCCAGCTTGCATTCCAGTGCGTTCCAGGGGCCGAATGCATTGGAATGCGGAGTTTGTGGTGTGAACCGGCCCTAAAGCAACAAACTTCTGCAACACGAACTGTTAAAGCAGTTTGGACTTAGTTTTCTTTTTTTTTTTGGTGACTAGTAGGCAGTTGTGCTTGAACACTTTTTTCTATTGTTCTCTTTAACTACCTCCCGTCCAGCGGCCATACCTAAATGGCCGGACGTGATCCTTGTAGATCCAGCTGGGCGTTTTAAAACGTCCTTCCTTGCCCCCACTCATGCACAGCGCACTAGAGGGAAAACTACCTAAAATTTAAGCAGCCGGTGACGGCTGTTTAAATACAGGTTTTGCGGCTTCTATAGAACCGCTGGATCGCTTGTATTTTGTGCCAGTGTGCGCCCCCCTCCTCTGATGCCGAGATCTGCTGTGCTCGGTGCGGGCGGCTCTGTCACTAGAGATCAGAGGGAGATCAGTACATGATCTCCCCCCCTGTGTCAGAGTGCAGGAAGTGATGTACATTACATCACTTCTGCATTCAGCTGTCATTCTCTGGCTACAGAAGCTGGTGAAGCAGATCTCTGCTTCAGCAGCTTCTCTAGGAGTCCCTAGGTGATACTGGGGGTCTTGGAGACCCCTGATGTCTCCATAAAGAAGACCTGTCATGTAAATCGGCTATCACATAAGGGGCTTCTTAGCCCCCCCATGTAATAGCAATAAAGTTGAGGTGAAAAAATCACATAAATTTGTTTCTAAAAAAAACACGCACAAAAAAAAGTCAAAGTCCCCTGCCTCCACAAACATGCGTCAGGTGTCTGTCCGTGCAAAAACGACGATTTTGCCCATTGCCACACATGATACATATCACTGCGAATGTCGGATCATGAGCAATAATTCTAGGGCCATTTATCACTGATAACACTAAACTGATGAGCAGTAAAAACTTTTAAAGCGTCGCCTATGCCCAGTTTTAAGGCTTAACATGTTTGCTGTCTTTTTACCTGACGTGACCCTGTCTTTTATATTTTACCAAAAAAGTGGGGTGATAATTAGAGCTGCAGCTAACGATTATTTTCAAGATCGATTAGTTAGCCGATTATTAAGTTCGATTAATCGGATATAAAATACATTTTAAAAAATGGCTCCAGTGATGGGACTACTAGTTTGTATTGAGATTGTAGTCCATCACAGGAGCAAGCTTGGAGCGGTGGAAGTAAAAAAAGAAAAAAAAAAAGTGTGGTGTGCAATATAGTGAAATGGAAAGTGTAAAATTATACAGCAACGAATACAGAATGGCACCAGCTATAGAGGACTACATAACTCGGCAATAGTACATTATACAGCGCAATGCAGAATACCACCAGCTATAGAGGAATACAACAAATCCCAGCAATAGTACATTATAGCTGGCGGTATTCTGCATTGCGCTGTACAATGTATTATTGCTCGGTTTGGAATATAACATGGGTGCAAAAAATGAAAAAAGGGCCTCAGTCATGAAGGGGTTAAAAACGTTGACAACTTTTTCAATAATCGATTATAATTGATTTAGTCGATTTGTTGTTGCAGCCCTAGTGATAATACATGTTTCCTAACATAGAGAAACAGGTTTTTCCCCAAAATTTTCAGTAATGTTTTTGTCATTTTTGTTTCAAAAGAAAGCTTGATCTGTCCCCAAAAAACGATATAAAAATCTTTACAGTACAGTGTTGCATTACGGAATAAATGTCAAAGTACCGCAGTGCTGAATACTGAAAAATGGCCTGGACAGGAAGGGGGTTTAACACCCTGGTCAGCAAGTGGTTAAAGAAACCCTTTGCCAGTGTTTAAGGGACCCCCTGCCCAATATGAACTATCTGGCTTATAAAGAACTCGGCAAACTATAATTGATAAACAAAAACTCTACCTGAATCTGTCTTCTGTGAGTCACTACCTTACCGGTCTCAAAGTGTACAAAAGGTGAGAGTAGGCTATTAATCACAACGTGCATGTCAGAAACACCTCTGTGCTTTCTGTGTTAGTTGTATAACTGGTCTTTGCATATGTCATCAGCAAGGAGGAAGTGTTAGAGACTAGATACCGTATTTTTCGCTCCATAAGACCCCGTTCACATATAGCGACATACCTTTTGCAGCGGATCCGCACGGCCGGGATAGCGCGACTTTCGGGGCGACGTTCCAGCGACGGTAGCGCGACCTTCCCCGTCGGGCTCCATAGAAAAAAAGCAAAATCGCGCAAAATCCGCCGAAAAAAGGGTCCGGTAGAAGCGACTTGCGACCGCGACGAGCGACGCGCGACATGGAGTTAAGACAGCTCCATTGAATAACATTGGCCGGCGACTTCTCGCGATATCGCGCGGCAAAAATGCGCGATATCGCGGGGGAAATCGCGCGACAATTCGCTATATGTGAACGGGGGAAAATGTGTGTGCGTCTTATGGAGCGAATCCCTAGTTTTTTGTACATTTAGCCCTGCTAAAGCAGAGCTAAACGTACAGTGGAAGCCGCTGCTCGTTTAATACAAGTGACCATGGGATAGGAGCTCACCATAGAGCCCCTAGAGCAGACGAAGAACGTCCGTTCTTCGTCTGCTCTGTGTGATCACTGAGACCGTGGCGCTGTAATCACAGCACCACCTGTCTCAGCAGTCACTTACTGCAGCTTCTGTCACAGAAACTGCCTGCGTCCTATGTACCGGTGCACCTTATGGAGCACAAAATGCAGTAAATGTTTTGCTGCTTATCTTTTGAAAAAAGCAGGAGTTTACATATCAGAAACATTGCTGCTTGCTTTGCTTAAAGTAGTATTAAACTCAAACTTGTTTTCAATAATGAATCTAGATCAAACAAATATACATTACCCAGCAAAGCAT